CCGCCTGCCCCCATGCCAGACACCCCAGGGGGCCACCCGCCTCGACCCCCCAGCTCAGCTCTCATCTACAGCAACGTGGGTGAGTGACACCCCGACCCCACTGCCCTCCTGCCCGCCGAGGTGCCAGCTCGGACGGTGGGGACAAACCCCACTGCTGTCCCCATCCCGTGGTACCCACCCGTCAACCCTCCAGCTGGCACTGGGCATCGCTTTGGGGCTGGAAATACGCAGCGAGGCAAATAACAACGTGCTTCTACTCCTGTCCTGCTCCATCTCCTACTTTCTCCACCCCACCCACCCCCGCAGCAGCAAAGTCTCAGCCCTGTCACGTCTGTTCCTCCCTCCCCAGGAGAGCTGCGAGCCCACCTCGTCCCCCGTAAGGCTAACCGAGGGGAAGCAGCTGGGAGATCCCCCTCTCAGCCCAACCGGGACCCCCTGCCTCCCCCATTGCCAAAAAAGCAGCTCCAGCGAGCGGAATCCCTCCCGGAGCAGGGGCCATCCCAGCATTGTCGGGGCAACCCCACACCACAGGCCAGCAGCATCCTCTACAGCATCCCACTGCCCCATCTGCAGCATGAGAAGGGGGCTCCCAGCTCCATCCCGCCACAGGACAGACCCTCCTGGGGATCCAAGAAGAAGTCCCAAAGCCTGGGGGAACCGGTGGCCCGGAGCGGCCCGCACAAAGCCCCACCACCCAGCCCAGCGGAGCTGACGTTCAGGACAGCAGACGGGGGGCTGGGGCAGCTCCTGGAGAGCTCAGCCGGGGTGTGCGGGGTGGTGTTGGGGTGCCAGGCGGCCACCCTGGCCCGGCTCTCGGCTCGCATCCAGGAGCAGCTCATGGGGCCGGAGGAGCGGCAGCAGTTGCTGGAGGCAGAGCTGGCCGGGAAGGGCTGGGCAGCGCTCAGCATCCTGGACCGGGAACCGTGCTGCGAAAGCGGGGACGCCTGGTATTTTCGGGTGGGCTTCGCTTTTGAGCAAACCCACCTGGTGTTTGCAGCCAAGGTAAGCAGGGAATTCGGGGAAAATGCCCTGGGTGGTGCAGAGGGAGTTGGCTCCTGCCGCATGGGGGGCTGCGGTGCTTCAGGCAAGCGTGAACCGGGAGCATTGTCTTTTCCACTGACCCCCGTCACGCAGGCGCTTCCCCTTTTTGCACCTACTTCTGCATTTGCTAAACGAGAGGGTCCTGCGGGCGCACGCCGGGGAGGCGAGGACGACAGCTCCCATGGGTCAAAAGGACACGTCAAGAACAGCACTGCTGGGGGAGATGCCCTAGCAAGAGGCCAGCGGATGCAAAGTAGAGGCTCAAGCAGAGCTGGCTCCTCAGGCAGCGCAGGATGAGACCCATCAAAGCAGCTTTGCAGCTCACCTGGGGGTGACACTCTCCCCTTCCTTTCCCATTTCTTGCTCAAAGCCATTCTGGTGAGTGCCAGTGGGTTTGGAAGGTGCAGGGGGAGCCCAGCACCATGCCCTGTCTCTCCTTGCAGGTCCCCAAGCCATGCTGTACCAGCCTGGGGGTGCAGAGCTCTCTTGGGGTGCACTGCAGCATCCAGCGCCTGATCGGCCGCTTCACCAACCACCTCCTTCAGGAGCTGGTGCTCCCGGGAAGCCCTGAGGAGCAGAGTCAGTCCCCTTCTGGAGAGAAGCCAGCCTATCCTGCCACCCCCCGTGCCCTGCAGGTCCTCATTTCTCCCGAGGTTCCCTACCAGACCCTGGCGGACTTTGTGAAGAAATCCCATGGTTTGCACAGGACCAGCCCTGGGCACTACGAACGCCTGGCTTGCCTCCTCCTCCTGCAGGTGTGCATGGGGCTGGAGCATCTCCGGGTGCAGAACGTGGGGCAGGGGGACCTCCGCCCTGAGAACCTCCTGCTGGTGCAGTGTCCATGTCCTCCGCAGAGCCAGCAAGGCAAGGAGGCATCCCTGGGGCTGGCCCTTCCAAGGCTGCTCATCAGCAGCTTCTTCAAGGCTAAAGACAAGCAAAGACCTTGTTCTACCAGCCAAGAGCAGGACTGGACCAAGGGGCTTGCTGCACCGCCCTCCCTGATGGCAGACGAGCTGAATGTAGGCATCCTGATCTACCAGCTCTTGCACGTGGACATCTCTCTGGAGAATGCCTTAGGGTTCAGAAGCAATAGGCTTCCTGAAATCCCCTCCCTGTCCATCTATTCCACGGGACTCAAGCGTCTGGCCATGCTGCTTCTCCACAGAGATCCCTGCAAGAGGGTCTCCATTGAGCAGGCAAGGAGCATTCTGCAGGTCCTGCTCTGGGGGCCTCGCCAGGAGCTCTTCGCTAGGAGCAAGAAGACCCTCACCCTGCTCCGGAACTGGGTGGAGGTGAAGAGGGCTCTGCTGCTCCTGAAGTTTGCGGAGAATTCGGCTGGGGCGGTGGGGAGCCCCGGCCTTGAGGAGTGGCTGTGCTGCCAGTACTTCAAGGAGGTCACCGAACACACGCTCTACCAAGTCACCCAGGCTCTCTACACTTCCTAAAGGCAAGCTCAAGTTCAGCCCACGCAAAAGGTCTCCTCAAAGCCAAGAGCCCGTGAGGACCTGGCCAAATCCACCAGCTCACAAGGAACCCAAGCTGGTCCTGGCTGGGGAAACTCTGTTTGCAAACCTGAACCTGTTTTCCCCCCAGCACACGAACGGTGAAGCTGGGACCAAACTCCCACCCATGGCTCCAATGAGGCAGGGTGTGGTTTTACACCCTCGACCAATTTTTGTTCGATACTATGAGTCCAGTTTATCAAATATCTCAGGAAAGACGGCTGGACGGAAGCCACAAGGATCCAGTATCAATTTAGCGGCTGATTATCCCGAGCAAAGTTTATTTGGGTTAGACTTTGCACAAAACCCCCTCAGACCCCGCCAGCGGCCACGAGGCTTTCACTGTTTTAAACAACAACGCAAAGCCACACATCACAGCTCGCCTTAATGGACCGTTAGCGAAGGAGAAATACAATATACCTCGTACAGCCTGCTCTTTTTAGAAACCATTTGTGACATAGTCACAAATATAAGTGACATTTTAAAGGGGGAAATACAGCAGCCACACAGCTTCAATAAAACCCAGAGCCGAGCCTCTTAAATACTGGTCCTTTATGTGCTTCTTTGACAGCATTACACACCCCAGTGATGTGTCCAGAGAGAAACACAAAGCCAAACTTCACTGCCCGGCGGTGATCAGCCAGCACAGCCTCCATGACGTGCAGTAAATAGCTCGGGGCAGTTTACGGCTGCTGCACCCAAGGACCAAGCTGCAGGGAGGGTTTCTGGCTGCACCAAGGCAGGGCCGTGGCATCTGCTGCTTGGCATGTAACACGCAGCACCACGTGGGGTCTGCACCCTGGTCCCCAACCCACGCGGATGCTGCGTGACCATCACAATGAAGCGCCATGCAAGGCTCCGCTCAGGTCATTTAAATTTTTATTAATTAAGTCATTATTAACCCACTTGCAGCCATCGCCTGACAGCAGCAAGAGCAGCCTCCATGGGCCCCGTGCGCAGCGGGATGGACCCCCCCAGCCTTCCCCGCAGCTACCGCTGGGGCAGCCCCAGCGTGCCCGTGGGCAGTGGCACCCGCGCCCGTGGCATAGCTGGATCAGGGAGGATTCCTCCTAGGGGTCCCTGAGCTCAAAAAAACCCCCCATCCCTAGTAAAACAGAGCTGTGACCCCCACCTGCAAGATGAACCCACAGAGCAGCAGGGTCCCAGCTCCCCCAGTCAGTGGGTTTCTGCCTCCTGCCCTGCCTGAGCGCGGGCAGGCAGCAGCCTCATCCCCTGGGCTGCAGCGGGGCCAAAGAGCCCACCGAGACCACAGCCCCTCCGGGTGAGTGGGGGGACCCTTCCCTCCCAGAGCGGCACCCGAACCCAGCAGCGCAGCCTCCCTGTCGAGGTTGGGCGAGCAAGGGGGGAGCGAACAAGCTCCCCGGCCACACAAACCCTGACGCGGTCACCACCCAAGCACAGCTGGTCCACAGAAAAGTTGTTCCACTTTCAGCACGGGCTTTTGGGCCAAAAACACACAGGAGGGGTTGTCCTTGGGTGAGCCCCAGCCCTGCTGTCCCCACCAGCTCTCCTGTAGTATCCTGCGTGGCTACAAGATGGCAGTAAAGCCCGTGGCACAGCAGCTCACCCAAAGCCTCCTTGGGCATCTGATCCTGGAAAAACAAAAGACAAAAACCTGCTTTTGCCAGCGCCTGCAGGCCCAGCCCAGCACCTTCAGGCCCAGCCCAGCACCTTCGAGCACCCCCCGCACCCCCATTTCTGGTTTCCACCTTGGGTGACCCCCTCCCCTTCTGCCAAGAGTAGCTTGGAGCACCCAAGGTCAGCGAAACGTCTCCTGGGCACCACAGCCTTGCAGGCAGGACCACGTACGTCTCCACGCTTGCGCGTCCCTGCGGAGCGCAGACCGCAGCACAGGCACAGCATCACGAAGAAAAAAGAAGATTTTCTCTAGAGAAAGAGCTCATGGACGTCAGAGCTCCACCAGCCCGTTACGAAGGAACACCCTCTCCCCGGTCAGGCCCTCCTCCTCTTTGCTGGCCTTTGGCACACCAAGAACAGCAAGTTCACAGCTTTCCAAAAAACCCTCAGGAAGAGCGAGATTGTACAGCCACCAAAAACTCAGCGAGAGCCCTGTGGGAAGGAGACCTCTCACACGCACCGACCTGCAGCCCAGCCAGGAGCCTGGGTGCCAGCAGAGGCGGGGGCTGTGCTGGACTCCGTGCCCAGGAGCAGAGTTCAGCCCAAGCTGGGGCAGCGTTAGCGAGAGGCTGATAGAAGCCAATAAAACAGACGATCAAGAACATCTGCCCTCCGCTGTGGGGCTAATCGAACAACAGGCTCTGTGGGAGCACGGTGCCATCCCCCTGGGTTATCTTGTGCTGCTGATCCCACCGTGGGATCTGCTCCCTGCTGCACCTCCGAGAACAGAGATGGCATTTCAGCGTATTCCATGTGATTCTAGGACTGCTCAGCCCAGAGCACCTGCCCAGGGCTGACCTGCGGGGTGATCCTCAGGCTCCCCTCACTCGTAAGCAGCGTTCCACGATGCCCACAGCTCCTGAAGCCGAGCTGGGTGGGGAGGTCAGGCCCCCGGCAGAGCGCACGCTCCCAGGATCATGTGCTTCGATCTACCCTCCCTCAGAGTAACAACCTGGTAAAACAACCCACTCCCAGGGATTCACTGCTCCAAGGTTTGATAGAGGAAAGATTAATCGGCTCAAACAGTGCCAAAGGAGCCTCCAGAGCTGCAACTGTAAGTACTGAAAAAAAAAAAAAAAAAAAAAGGCAATGCTTTAGAGCACAGCCCTTCGGTAACTTCAGCACATTTTAATTCAAGCCCTACACAAGCAGCCATCTTCCCTTCAGTGCCCTGGACACACGTCTGTGCACCCCAATAACAGGCACTGCTTGACCAGGGCCCCTTCTCCTCCCACATCGACCACCATCTGTCTCCCCAGAAGAGCTCTAGAGGCTGCCCAGCCTCAGTGACGTTCAGCTATGACGTTCCACACGCCTTCCTAGATCACAAAGAACTCCCCAAGCCACCCCACGTGCTTAACACTCGTGTGAGACCCCGCTGCCACTGGTATCCCAGTTGCCTATTTGATGCTCAAGACACCTGAAGCCCAAGGCAGCCACAAGCTGCGCTTCTCAGCGCCTCACTTGACTTCCCACCTAACACATCCTGAAGAATCCTTGGGAACAATGGTAGAGCAGGGATGCAGTGGTCCTAATTACCACTGGAAATGGCCAACCTCCAAACCATCACACTAAAAGGAGGTTTTTTTACAGGATTCTAGATTATTTCAAGTCCTGGCAGACCACAGCCATGAGTTCCAGTCAAGCAAAGAATGACCAACGCCTTTCCGTACCTGCAACTTTAATGGTTGGGGCAGTTCCAGAGCCATCTCTTCAGAGTGCAAGTCTTAAACAGCTTAAACCAGCAATAAAAAGTAAAATATAAATTTTTATTTAGAATTAAAGCAAATACTTCAGTATCACAAACACAATATTAAACTTCAAGAAATATACTGCTAATTTGGAGGGAGCATTTATTTGCACAACCACAACATGCGCACAAATCCAGAAAAAGATGTGAAGTCTGAAATTTTCAACATCTCACCACCAGAGCAGTTGGTCACAACGTTTCATACAGAGTTATACGTACTGTAATAGATGTTGACAAAATTTCTACAGAATCATCTTTATAGACAACAAGAAAGCTCTAAGAGGCAAACATTGCAATCTATTCTTCTTCTGATGAGTCTCTCTCAAACGTGTAGGCCATGAAGCAAGCATCTGGTCTTTTGGGGACAAGGGGATGCCCTGGTCTCACAATCTCAAAGCCCAAAAAGCTGAAAGTACGGAGCAATGCAGCTAGAAAAAAAAAAAGCAGAGAACAAGTTTCATCCATTTGATACCGTATAACAGTTAAAAGCAGCCACCAAAACCAACTTCAGACACTGCAGCCACAACTCCAGGCAGCGCCCGGAGCCACCACCTACCTCTATCATCTCTGTTCTTGTGGAAACAAATGAACACATGATCAACTCGAAGCTGTTCTTCAGCAAACTCTAGAAGAACCGCAAAACTGCAAGAGAAATACAAGGGGTTCGATGCACCTGAGCAAGCTCTTCCTCCAGAGGCAGACAGCAAGGCCCCGTGAGCCAAGCCCCGAGCCCATGAACTGGGAAGCACAAGGGGCTGGTGGCTGGAGCCTCACACCAGCAGGACATCCCTGAGCCCCAGGCTTCACGTGAGGCAGAAAGGTGGGTCTTCAGCGACACAGAGCAACACTTTTTCTGTTGCAGCTGGAGGGAGAACTGCAGTGAGAGCCTCAGAACCAGGCTGGTGTTCTCACAGCCACCCAGTACCTGGGAACACAGCCCGCAGTTCCACACCTTTTGGGTGGTTCTGCCTGACAGAACAGGCAGAGGCAGCCCTCAAACCAGGATTTGAGGTGCAAATTTGCAGCCTCTTACAAGAGAGCATCAAGCACCTGACTTAAACTTTCAGGACAATGGAAGCAAACACCAACAACAGCGCAGTGTGATTCCACCCTCCCGACAGGCCTTCGAGACAGAAGTTAAACCAGAGCAGCGTTTGATCCTACCCACCTGTCTTTGCTCCCTTCAGGCAGAGCACCACTGGGAATTTCTATATAGAGGTTGTTGTTGTTCAGCACTGCTCTCCAACTAATGTGTTTGGCATCTGTAAGCCTTGACTGGACATTCAGAATTCTTGTCCTGTTATTAGATGTTAGTTCTTCTGTTACATTCAGCCGATTATCCTGCAGCAATAATACGTGCAAGTTATTTCCAGTTCATTTTGGAGAAGGAGTAACTCCCACTAATAAGCTCGAGGCAAGAAATGCATTCAAGCTCACCATAGCAAGCTGCTTATTATTATTCATACTCACCGAATAAAATAAATTAGCTGAAAGATTGTGATCCCTCTGACTATTCCCTCGCCCACCTGGGATC